GGGTCTGCCTGTGGTTGCTAAGAATGATAGGGTGGGGCTGTCATGAGTGAGTGAGTGTGTATGTGTGTGTGTGTGTGTGTGTGTGTGTGTGTGTGTGTGTAGGTCCCAGGGGACAGGTCCACCCCTGGGGATGGCTGGGGGGGCACCTGCCAGGCTGGCCAAACCCAGACACATCAAGGGAAGATGTAGCTTCTGGAGGCTCCTGGGAGAGGAAGGGAGCTCTTCTGCAGATGCGGGCTTGCCAGGACAAGGTTCTCCCACTTCCTCTGCTCCTCTCTTGCCCACGGAGGGGATTTCTACCTCCAAACACTGGCCCTAATCTCTTCGGGGTGAAGGGACTCCTGCACTAAATGCCCTGGGGCAGAGGCTTTAATCAGGTGCACTTCCGGCCCGCCCCCCTGCACCACACCCCCGTCTCTGGGCGGCCTCCGTGGAAGGCTTCAGGCAGCGCCTGCAAACTTGCTGCCCCTCCAATCTCCAAATGTATTCTGTAAGTTTGAGTTCCTCCAAATGTCAGGAGGGGCCTTTACACAATGTTTTGTGATTTTCTAAGTTCCGCGCCAGCTTGCTGGGGTGAGGGGAGGGGCGGTACATATCTGTCATGGGCAGCCCCTCTTCCAAAGGCCCCAAGAACTGGTGACCATCTAGTCTGTCGTTCAGCCTGGAACACCTTTGAGAGTGTAAGGGGAGCATTACTCGTCATCACGCTTGTCCACAGGCATAAATAATCGGGACCCTCCTAGGCAAACAGGGTGCATGGGCACTCCGGTGGACAGGATGGCTCGGCTGTGCATCGGCAGGGGAGGCCAGGCAGGTGGGCACCCTCTCATGAGGGCGAGCGACACTTCTTGTGTCCATATACAGCTCCCGGGTGCCCCAGAAGAAGCCAAAGCCGCTCTTCTTGGCCTTGTAGCTGTGACTGGCATCCTGGGGTCAGACACGTGATAGACAGAAGGAATATCAGGTTCTCTGAGCTGACCCTCTGACGGGCTGTCCCGTGCCCTGCTGCTGCTTCTTGTGCGGAAAGGGGACAGTGGAGGTGTGGGAGATCCCTCTCTTGGCCCCTCAGGATTTTAGGGGCCTGGTGTCTGTGTTTCACTCAGTCTTTTCTGGCCAGTGACTTGAGCCCCCAGGGGTTCCACGGTTCAGGACACCTGGTTTGTGTCTCTCACAGCTGTCACTCCGGCCTGACCCACGGCATTTCAGGTTTATAGATGGCAGTCCCATGGCCCCAGTAGCAATGACCTTCTGGGACCCTGACACCCCTTCCTAAGACTCTCAATGCCCTCTGGGCTGTTGGGGCTGCTCACCGGCTATGTCACCGCTGTGGCTGTGGCTCCTGCTTCCACGCTGCCCTGTGTGTAGAGGAGTGGGCGAGGGGCACCCTGGTTCTGTCTGAGCACCCCTGGGCTGTGGCCCTACTAGGTGCCTTCATTTCCATGGCGTAAGCTCGAGCTGGCACCCACTGCTCTTTCTCAGTCCCTCCAGCTGCGGAGCTCATCACACCTAGCGTGGAGACCAGGGCCTGGGAGGGGGGAGGAGCCACTCCTCCTGGTGCCCCCTTCTCTGCCTCTTTCTGGTTCCTTCCAAGTGGGTGCTCCCCGAAGCTCTGTCCCCAGCCCCTCCCTTCTCTTCGTCCCTCCATCCTCTTTCTGGGAGACTGTACCCCCTGCTCATGCTTTGGCTACCACCCCCATTCTTGGTCCCCTTTATCTAAGTTCCCAGCATCCCTCACCCTGACTATAGATTGGTGCTTCCATTCCAAGATATGCCACCCCCTTGGATCCCACATTCCCCCCAAAAGTTGCTGCTTGGGATTTTCCCTGTTCCTTCAAAGGAACCCCCCTCCTCCCAGGCCTGGGCCCAGTGCTGGGGTTTGGGGGGTTTGTCAGGACCTCCTGGCCCCTTCTCCCTTCTGCACGTCCCTCAGGCCACTCCTGTGCCCACCACAGGCTCTGCTTTCCCCTTCTCTCTGCGGTCCCGCCCCGCCCTTCAAGCCACACCACAGCGGATCAGAATATTCTGTTTCCGTGCTTGGCCTCTGTCCTGCTTGCTCGCGATTGCCAGATTCCACTCAGTTTGGCTCCACCAGGGCCCTGGGCTCTGCTCTGGGGCTCAGGAGCCTGGGCACAACACAGACTGGCAAGAGGGAGGAGACAAGGACACGCTGGGGGCCCCGCTCCAAGTGTGAGGAGCAGCAGAGATGGAGGGATTGAAAAAGAGCCAAAGGCCATGGAAATTTAGGGATGACTTCCTGGAAAAAAAGCACACGTGCTCCAAACCTCAAAAAAAAAAAAAAAAGTAGCCCTTTGTTGACTGTTAACAGTGAAAAATATGAAAAATCTAACGCCCTGCAGAAGCCTGCATCAACACCCCATGGAAAACGCTCGAATGGAATACCATACTGTTGCTAAAATGAACCTGCATGGATAAATTTCACCTGATATAACATTGCATGAAAAAGGCAAACTGAGGAATGATGTGCATGGCGTGACTCCATTTATATACATCCTAAAGACACACTATATATTATTATAGCTAGAGATGCCTGCGCATAACAGACATAACAGAACATAAACATATGAATGGGGGTGACAGACTCCAGATTCGGAGGGAGGGAGGGAGGAAAAGAAGAAGGGACAGCACGAGGGAACTTATTTGTGGCCATGCTCTATTTCTTTGAAAAGAGACAGAAAAGGATCTGAGGCAAATACGGCAAAATGTTAATGTGTGTTCAGTATGGGTGATTATGGGCACAAGGGTACTTGGTATATTATTCTCTCCTTATCTGTTCATCATTCTGTAACTCAAAAATTTAAAAGAACATGATTCTGTACACGGCTTGATCATTCCCTACAGAGGGCCGGTGGGAAGCGAAGGGCAGAGGGGAATGAGGGCACCCAGGACGGGGTACAGCTGGGCAGGGACACAGCAGGGATTGTGTGGCAGGAGAAAGGAGCCTGGGTGGGGAGTTTGGTTGCGGGGGGGGGGGGCGGAATGTTCTAAATCTTGGGCAAGTTCCCAAAGGGGGCTTTCTCCTGGCTGCCTACTCAACCCCCCAAGTATGTTGCTCAGTGTCCGTGCCTTCCTCTACCCCCACGGCAGCTTCTGGTTGATTCTCAAGTCAGTGATTTATTCAGTAGCAGCTGATTTATTCAGTGAGCAGCTACTACAATAGCAATAGCTCACACGGCACTCATGACATGTGAGGTTTGTACTCACACATAAGAACTCACTGAATGCTCCCATCACCACCATCCCGATTTTATAGATGAGGAAACAGAGGCACAGAGAGAGGCACAACTTCGGGGATTTGCCCGAAGTTACACAGCTAGTCAGGGGTAGAGCTGGGACTTGAACCCAGGCTGGCTGGAGCCAGAGGGCGCAGGGCTTTCTGCCGCCATTGTTCCCTTTATGCCAGGCACTGTGCCAGGCACTGTGGACTTGGTGCCCACAGAGCCTTGCCCTTGAAGAGCTTCTGTGCCAGTGTGGGAAAGTCAGGCACGAACCAGGCAACACACAGACGTAAAGGAACAGAAACTCAGTCCCCCGGGGAGAAAATACAGAGGACACATTGAGACTGAGGTGACTGGGAAGGCCTCTCTGAAGAGGGGACATTTAAACGGAGACCTAAGGTTAGTGGGGAAGGAGGGGGGTGTGGTGTGTGGGCAAGCTAGACAGAGGGAAGAGTAAATGCAAGGGCATGAGTTCTGTGTGGGCAAGGACCCGGAAGAGGGCCAGGGGAGCCAGAGCACGCAGTGAGTAAGGGGCAGGGCAGCAGGGCCATGAGGCTGTCACTCAGGCCCCTCCTTCCAGAAGGGGGACCCCGTGTCCGGGTTTGTCCCTGCGGTCCCAGTCTGTGCCTGTGATCCCAGCATAAATATTCATAATGTCTCATTTTGGTTTTGGGCAATAATAAATGCGAAGGTCACCCTCTCACAGGCCACGGTGGAGAGTTTGGATTTTGTTCCCAGGGCAGTGTGGAAAAAATTGAGGGCTTTTAGTGGAGGGTGACACTCTAATCTATAATGTATAAAGTTCTCTCCGGCTGCTGTGTGGAGAGGGCCTGCAGGGGAGTAGGAGGGAAGGCCTTGTCCCCTTCCTGACTGAGCTGCGGAGTGTGGACGGAGCGAGCCCTGGGAAAGGCAGGGGAGGCCCCAAGCTGAGGTTGCAGCCATGGGCGAAATGACTCAGGGCAAACGCGTCCCCAGAGATGCCGCTCCCCTTCTCCTCCCTGTGCTGACCCAGCCCAAGGCTTCTAGGAGGGGCCTTCAGGGGTGGAACTAAGCCCCTGAGAACAGCCGCCTATCTCCCAGGACTGCAGAGGGGCTGCCGAAAGAGATAGGCAAGTTCTCAGAAGAAGGGCTCAGCCAATGCCAGAAACAACGATGAAAGATATTAACTTCCCATTTGAGAAGTTGCCCCATCCCTTCCCCTCTCACGGCACACAGGAGCCCAGGGCATTCACAGACACCCGGGAGTGGGGAAGAGAGTCTCCGAGTCATCTGACACTGAATGAGTGTGGGGAAAAGCAGGTGGCTTCCAGTACCTGCTGATGTACATGGGTGCTGCCCATGAATGAAGGTAGGCCCACCCACTGTGCACCCACCTCCCGGGGCCTGGCATTTACATCTGGGTGTGTGCTGGGAGGGCGGGTATGTAGAGGCACACGTACACAGCTGACCACATACTATGGGCATGTGCCCGCACTGATGCCACCGACCTCTTATATTTAGGGGGTTCGGGCTCCTAATGGCAATTCAGAGGGAGGACAGAAGTCAGAAGCCTGGAAATGAATTCTGCAGGCGCCAAGGGCCTCTAGTGTGTCGCCCACACAGTGCCCCCGTCTAAGAGAAGAGGAGAGTTACTAAGTTAACCTTCCACGCTCAGGTGGAGAGTCGCCCTCCTCCCTGGAGGGTCATCTAAGTCTGGGTGCAGGGAAGGCAGAGCCACAGGCTCAAGGCGGAAGGGAAGGGGCTGGTGGGAGAGGGGTCACTCACCGAGCGGCAGGACGAAGAAGAAAGGGAACCAGCAGAGCACGAAGACGCCCACGACGATGGCCAGCGTCTTGGCCGCCTTCTTCTCGCGGGAGAACTTGAGCAGACGCACGGACAGAGAGCTGCGGAAGGTGTGGCCCTTGGCGCTGCGCGTCCCGTGCGCCCCGCCGGCGCTGGTGCTGGCGCCGCGACAGTGGATGCGAAGCACCACCTCCGAGGCCTTGCCGCGCTCTCGCTTGACGCCCGCCTCGAGGCTGCGCGTGGTGCTCCGCGCTACCACATACACACGACAGTACATGACCACGATGACGGCCATGGGCAGGTAGAAGGAGCACACCGAGGAGAAGACGGCGTAGCCCGCCTCCTCGGTGATACCGCAGAAGCGCTCGTCCGGGGGCACCGGCTCCTTCCAGCCCAGCAGCGGCCCCACGGACACCACGAGGGCGACGGCCCAGAGCAGTGCCAGGATGGCGGCGGCCTTGCGCTCGGTCATGATCGCGGGGTACTTGAGCGAGTGGCGCACGCCCACGTATCGGTCCACCGAGATGGTGCAGAGGCTGAGGATGGAGGCCGTGCAGCACAGCACGTCCACGGCGGCCCACACGTCGCAGAAGGCCCGGCCGAAGGCCCAGAAGCCGAGGACCTCCATGGTGGCCGAAAAGGGCAGCACCGTGGCGCTCAGCAGCAGGTCGGCCACGGCCAGGTTCACAATAAAATAGTTGGTGACCGTCTGCAAGTGGCGGTTGCAGGCCACGGAGAGGATGACCAGCAGGTTGCCCGCCACAGCTGTGAGGATGAAGGCGGCCAGGAAGACGCCCACGCCCACGCCCTGCGCGCTCACCACCAGCCCCCCGACGGCCGCGGTCCCATTCACCTCGCCGCCCGCGCCCGCGCCCCCCGGCTCCCCCGCCGAGCTCTGGTTGTCGTCGCCGCCGCCCGCGCCCACCACGCCGCCGCCGCCGCCGGCGCCTCCCGGCACGCCGCCCACTGCCGGGCCCTCCGAGGCGGCCGCGCCGCCCGCGCCGCCCCCGCCGCCGCCCGCGCCGGAGCCCCCGGCGCTGCTGTCAGGGCGGGGTCCCTCGAAACTGACGCTCAGGAGGTCGCGGAAAGTCATCTCAACGCGCGGCCGTCGGGGGCCGGGCCCGGGCGCAGGACGAGCGGGTGGACAGGCGGGGGGCCCCGGGCATAGCCGCGGGGCTCGGGCTGCAGCCTGGCGCGCGGGTCCCGTCGGGGTCCGTCCCGAGTGTCTGTAACGAGGAGCGCGGCTGTCCGCCTGCGGAGCGGAGCCGGCGGCTCGGCGGCCGGGGCTCCCGAGGCTGGTGTCGCGGGGTGGGACCGAGGAGCCGGGGCCGGAGACGCGCGCCGCTCTCCGAGCGTGCCCAGGCGAGCGGGCAGAGCGGCGGCTCAGGGGCCGGGCAGTGCAGGCAAAGCCACTGCGGCGCGCTCCGCCGGGCGCGGGGGGCGGGACGGAGGAGGGGCAGCGCCGGGAAGGAGGAGGGGGCGGCCGGCTCCGAGGGAGGGGGCGCCCCGCTCCCCGGGAGAAAGGGCAGTGCGCGGCGGGCGAGCGGCAGTTCTGGGGTCCGGAGGGGCCGCGGCGCTGACGCCCGCTCCCGCCCCGAGGCAGCAGGTCGCCGAGGGTCCCGACGCCCGCCCTCTCTTCTCGTGGTCAGCTCCGCACCCCTTCCCGCGCGCCTTCCGGACCTCCTCCCCTATTCCCCTCCGCCGCGTCCCCTTTCCTCCCGCCCTTTCCCCCTGCCTCTCGGTCACTCGCTGGTGCCCTTGGGCGCGCGGAGCGGAGACGGCGTGATTCCCGGGTCCCCGGGCTCTCCGGCTCCCGGCTCTGGCCGCCAGAGAGCAGCAAGCGCCTGGGATCTGCGGACTGCGGACTGGACCGCGCAGTACCGCGGCTGGTCGCCTCCTGGGACTGCCTGGATGGATCTGCCGCACCTCCTTACTCCTTGCGAGCCACTGGCCAGGCGAGGGTCTCAAACACCTCTTGCCAGTGCCGTGGAGTGGAGAGAGACCCGGCAGGGATCAGATGCCAGTGCTGGCCTGTGATAGGAAAAGGAACAAAAGACTATATGGTTACGGCCCCTGGACCCTGCCCACCACGCATCAGTTTGCAAATACCAACTTTTGCGTTCTTACTTTGCTGCATATCAGATGTTGGAATAAAACTTCTTTGCTACACCCAATAAGTGGCATTCTTCTGGGGAGGGAGGGTTTCAGTGCGGGAGGGTGGGAAAGGGCACTTGGCCTGATGGTTAAAGAGTGGGGGGTGGGCAGACTGACTCCAAATCTGGGCAGTGTCCTGTATGAGCTCTTTGACTTCTTTGTGTCTCAGTTCTTCATCTGTAAAATGAGAATAAGAGTAGTTAGTGTCTATTTAATGATGTGAACATTAGATAAGTTAATATGCATTAAAGCCTGAGAGCCGTGCCTGGGTTTGTGGGCAGAGTGGGGTTTGGGAGGGCGAGATTTGGAAAGGGAGGTCTGAAGGCAGAGGGGTTGTGGAGCTGGTATGAACCCGAAACACAGGTGGAGGTTTGAGGAGCCTCTTGCTAACTAGCAGGACTGGGTAGAGAGGGACAAAAAGAGATCATTCCTTTGATTGACATAAAGATGCTAACCAGGGTGAGGTTGCGCTGGACACTCTGGGTGGCAGAGTGAAGGGAAGAGGTAAGTGTGTAGGTGCAAGATGAGGAAGGGTTGAGCTGTTCCAAGGGAGATGGGAGTGTATTTGGAGAGCTGTCTGGGAAAAGGTGGAGAAGCCATGACCTTGGTGCCCACTAGCTGTGGATGACACAGGACAGGATGTTTGAGAGTCCTAGATGAGCAAGTGATTTGGAGAAAAAGCAGAAAATGGGAGAAATGTTGAGAGATGGGTAACCCCCTCTCATACCGGCCTCCCCAGCCCAGGAAGCTAAAGCTGTTAGAGTCCTGGCTTAGAAACAGCTCTTCCAAGGCCCTCAGTTCCCCCACTGCATCTTCCACCTGTTTCTTGGGTCTTTGAGAATTTACTATAGGGAGTTGGAACGAAAGCAAGGTGAGCCCTGGTAGCCCTTAGGTTCTCTGCGATCCAGTGGCAAGGCTTCTGTTTAAGATGGACAACTTAGCCTCTGCACATATCTTCCCTCCCTTATGCGATCCCTTTAAAGCGAGCTTAAAGAAAAAGGAGAAGTTCATCCCACAACTGAGAAGTTAACTCCTAGGCTGATTAGCCTGTACTTCAGCCCCTACAAGAGGTCATGAGGGATTTGAGGAGATCTGGACCTCCTCCTCTCTCATGAAGATGCTGCAGGCAGTTGTCACTTTCAGAGTCAGACTGAATGATGGAGAAGATGTTCTTGAGAGAGATCCTGTTTTTGGGGACCAGAAGCCCCCAGTTCCCTCCCATCCCAACCTTTATTCGTTCATTCAACACAAGGTAATGAGAGTAGTTGCTACACACCAGCAACTGTTGCTGGCAGTGGGGAGATGATATTGAATAAAGCAAAGTCCCTGCCATTCGGTGGCTCACCCTCAAATGGCAGAAAGTGCTCCTAAGACTTAGGAGGAGAGCCGTCCCATTGCTATGGGTAGTTTTCTCTGGGTTTGATATCTGAGTCCTGGAGATTGTCTCCAATTAAATCTTCAAAGAAAATCCAAATCCAGAGAAACTCTTTTCCAGTACCTCCCCACCTCCAAATAGCAGTGGAATCTGAAAGGGTACAAGATCATACATGTCACTGGAAGACACGGCTAAAGCTGCCACTTCCCAGGATCAGTTCCTATGAAAAATACGGACATCCAGATGAATACGGATGCAAAAATCCTCAACAAGATCCTTGCAAATTGAATCCAGCAGCACATAAAAAGAATCATCCACCAAGATCAAGTGGGATTCATTCCTGGGTTACAGGGCTGGTTCAACATTCGCAAATCAATCAATGTGATACATCACATCAATAAAAGAAAAGATAAAAACCATACGATCCTGTCAATAGATGCAGAAAAAGCATTTGACAAAATACAGCATCCCTTCTTAATAAAGACTCTAGAGAAAGTCGGGATAGAAGGACCCTACTTAAACATCATCAAAGCCATCTATGAGAAGCCTTCAGCTAACATCATCCTCAATGGGGAAAAACTGAGAGCTTTCCCCTGAGATCAGGAACACGACAGGGATGTCCACTCTCACCACTGTTGTTTAACATAGTGCTGGAAGTCCTAGCATCAGCCATCAGACACCAAAAGGAAATCAAAGGTATCAGAATTGGCAAAGAGGAAGTCAAACTTTCACTCTTCGCAGATGACATGATACTCTACATAGAAAACCCGACAGACTCCACCAGAAGCCTACTAGAACTGATCCAAGAATTCAGCCAAGTTGCAGGGTACAAAATCAACGTACAGAAATCGGTTGCATTTTTATACACCAATAATGAAGCAACAGAAAGAGAAATCAAGAAACTGATCCCATTCACAATTGCACAAAAAACCATAAAATACCTCGGAATAAACCTAACCAAGGATACAAGAGATCTGTATGATGAAAACTATAGAAAACTTATGAAGGAAATTGAAGAAGACACAAAGAAATGGAAAAACATTCCATGCTCATGGATAGGAAGAATAAATATAGTTAAGATGTCATTACTACCTAAAGCACTCTACACATTCAATGCAATTCCAATCAAAATTGCACCAGCATACTTCTCAAAACTAGAACAAACTATCCAAAAATTTGTATGGAACCACAAAAGACCCCGAATAGCCAAAGTAATACTGAAAAATAAAACCAAAACGGGAGGTATCACCATCCCAGACTTCAGCCTCTACTACAAAGCTGTCATCCTCAAGACAGTATGGTATTGGCACAAAAACAGACACATAGACCAATGGAACAGAATTGAGAACTCAGAAGTGGACCCAAAAGTATACAGCCAACTGATCTTTGACAAAGCAGGAAAGAATATCCAATGGAAAAAAGACAGCCTTTTTAACAGATGGTGTTGGGAGAACTGGACAGCAACATGCAGAAGAATGAAACTAGATCATTTTCTCACACCATGCACAAAAATCAACTCAAAATGGATAAAGGACCTGAACGTGAGACAGGAAACTATCAACACCCTAGAGGAGAAAGCAGGAAACAACCTCCTTGACCTCCACCGCAGCAACTTCTTACTTGACACATCCCCAAAAGCAAGGGAATCAAGAGCAAAAATAAACTGTTGGGACCTCATCAAGATTAAAAGCTTCTGCACAGCCAAGGAAACAACCCAGAAAATTAATAGGCAACCAACGGAATGGGAAAAGATAGTTGCAAATGACATATCAGATAAAGGGTTAATATCCAGAATCTATAAGGAACTCACCAAACTACACGCCCGAAAAACAAACAACCCAGTGAAGAAATGGGCAGAAGACATGAACAGACACTTCTCCAAAGAGGACATCCAGATGGCCAACAGACACATGAAACGATGCTCAGCATCCCTCCTCATCAGGGAAATACAAATCAAAACCACACTGAGATACCACCTCACGCCAGTCAGAGTGGCTAAAATGAGCAAATCAGAGAACTCTAGATGCTGGCGAGGATGTGGAGAAACGGGCACCCTCCTACACTGTTGGTGGGAATGTAAACTGGTACAGCCCCTCTGGAAAACAGTGTGGAGGTTCCTCAGGAAACTAACAATAGAACTCCCCTATGACCCAGCAATAGCACTGCTAGGAATTTACCCAAGGGATACAGAAATGCTGAGGCATAGGAGCACATGTACCCCAATGTTCATAGCAGCACTCTCCACAATAGCTAAAACATGGAAAGAGCCTAAGTGTCCATCAACAGATGAATGGATCAAGAAGATGTGGTTTATCTATACCATGGAATACTACATGGCAATGAGAAACAATGAAATCTGGCCATGTGTAGCAACATGGATGGACCTTGAGGGTGTTATGCTGAGTGAAATAAGTCAGGCAGAGAAGGACAAATATCATATGTTTGCACGTATAGGAGGATTAGGAGGAACTTGATGGAGGAACAAGGGGGAGAAGAAGGGCGGAAATGGTGGGGGAAAGGGAGAGAGGCAAACCATGAGAGACTCTTGAATGCTGACAAAAACT